CCGTAGTAAAACAGGTAACGTCTACCTAACCTAACCTATAATGAAAATAAACTAAGTTAAAGTCAACGTGACCCTGTGAGACAATTGCCCACATGAAATCCTTGAGAGCTTGGAAAGTGTTGATGACCTACTCTTACTTTTATTTTTAGGCCTTTACCTTGAAACACAAAATAGAGAAAGAAGTACTTGTAAAACTCGTCCGTCGTTAAGAGGGCCTCTCGATTATGTTAAAGATCGCTCTCTTAAAAAACTTACTATTACAAAACCAGTGCAAACAAGGTTTAACAACCATAATCTTTATTTTTCAATTAACTCTGATAGAGCCACGCAACAGTCTTCGTTACCGCACAAATTGACAGTTCTGTCCGGGTACCACGACCACACACAAGACTAGCGTGAAGCTGAAGTTTTATACGTCTTCAGCTTTTTGTCTGGTTAGTGAGGTAGCCAGGGCCCACTTTATTAAAAGATAAGGCGACGCATCTGTAATACTACGGGGATTGTTACATCAATAAACATTAATTTAATGTACGCCGTACTTAAAGCTGACCACCTTAAAGGTCATGATTGCATTCTGGATATCCCGCTTAGTGAGGAAATACCACAAATAATGCATACTCATAATTTTAAAACGTTTTATCGCAGGCTTTTATTTCCTATGTTAGACCTCGCTATTAGAATTTAAACGACTTTTAATTTAGAAGGTATATCTGTCAATTTTAAATTGTTTATATCTCTTCTCTCTCTATCTGTTTATAAGAATATTTCTTTACATTTTCACTCTATTAAACTATTTTTTGTACAAGAAAACGAAAAGCAAATTCCTCTATTCAAATATCCTGTATAAATCGAATTATATTACTTTTCTTTATATAATAATAAGTTATTGACAAGTACTTATAATTATTTATTTGGAATTTTCTAACACAATCATTTACAATAAACATTGTATAAATACACAAAATATTTTTAGTGGCATCCCAAGTAAGCTGTACCTTTTCCCCATACCAACAGGCTCAAATCGCCCTGTTTCTTGTTCAGTAAAATGCATGAAGAGTCTTATAACGAGGAAACGAAGAAAATCAAATAGAAACACTTTAGCCAGAACGTTCGAGGAGACCATGTTTTTCTTTTTTTTTTTTTTGACGCAAAAATTACATTTGTTTGGTTGAAATATCAGTACATGACGGATTCCGGCAACATTATGTAACGGTTGACCGTCATTCAAAGTACTTTATTTGATAATGAAAAGTGTAGCCATTCAGTCAATTATTTGTGTACAATCCACCATGTATCATGAAAAAACTTTTAGCAGAATATTTTTATTGAAGTACACAGCCTGGAAAGATTAAGAGGGATCGATTCTCCTAGTGATAAGTTATTACCGCTCCTTGTATATATATGTTCCTTATATAAGTTATCATCTAAAACGTGCATGGGATTACAATGCTCGGCATTGCAATCCACAATTAACGAATTGCAAAAATATAAGCATAAACTTCATGGCGGTCTTCTGTAATTTTACTTCTTCGAAATTCAGAGCGGATTATTCGGAGATTTCGAAGAAATAAAATGAGATTTCGAATTTATGCAACAGCAAAAGATGTTGATTTCATACAAAATTTTAAGTCATTTTCTAATATTATAATAATTTTATAACTCCATAATGAAATCATGATGCTATAAAGTTCTACCAAAATTGTAAATCAACTTATGAATGTTAGCTTGATTTTTTTTCTATTAAACAGTAGCAAATAGTATCAAATACAGGGTTTGTGGGTATTAAAGTTTAACCCCCTTTAGCTGCCTTATATACCTTAGCTGCTATTAGAGACACGACACATCTAAAACATGTATGTTTAGCCATACCTTCTTCAGCGAAACACTAAACACTCCCAAACCTACATTTTGTTAATTTGTATAGACGTGTGTAAAATATGCTTACATAATATTATTTAAGGCAACAAGGCTTGTTTAATGTAAGGGGCACAACAAACTTTAACGTACGGTATAACCCACAAAAATCAATAACTGTCGTCTGCGTCTGTATTTTTTCGAGGTTTCAAAATTAATGTAGACCTACCTGCTTATTCATTGTATAAGTCCTGAATTGTTATCACGCTACGTTTAATAAATAACAACGACTATGTCTTTAATTGGAACTATTGACAAACACATAGAATCTGCAAAACATTCAGTTTCGAATCCTAAGTTAATATTTACTAATAAGACTTTTTTTACGAATTGAACGTGTAATTAAAAGGTAATAAAATAAATACATGGCCTTAACAAAAACCCGAAGGCTTTTTTTTTCTAAAATGTTTATAAATAATGAAAATTATTGAATTGATTTATTTCATCTGTGGTGAAGAACTTGAAAGGCTACGTTTGGCCGTGATCTTTACACGTTTCCATCAAGAAAACGAGACAGAATAACAAAAATATTAAAAACAGGTCCTTATGAATACATCGCATACAAAGCTATGTCAGGTGTCGCATAGACAAATAGTTTAGGTTTTTAAATAGCAATATGAAAAAATAAGGCAAGACTAGTCCTAGACTAATCGAAATAAATGTTTCATTCTTACAAACAAACATAGAGGAAATCAATTATAATTCCTCTCTCTTAATTCAAAGAATTGTCACAAAGATTAAATCAAAAATTTAAATTTTTTTTACTGTGAAAAGTTGCCAAATGAGCAGACAGTTCACCTGATGGTAAGTGAATACCGCCACACATGGACATCTGCTACACCCGAGGGTTACAGATGTGTTGACAACCTTTTATTAAATCTCATTTAACATAATTATTTATGTATAAGTGAAATAGATTTATAATGCCAGGAATAAAAATGCTAGTTCTGCAACCTTCAGCATTATATAAAAAACAGGAAAATGAAGTATCAAATGAAATGTTCTAAAACCAGATTGAATGCTCTTTCAATTCAACCAAAACTGTTTCTACAAAGTACGTGTTAGTCTATAAATGTCTATAATACATACATAAAGCTTATGATAATATATGAAACGGGCAGATAAATTAGAAACGCATTTATAATTATTGTTGTATACGAATCACTCATATCATCGAGAGGTACAAATTTTCGAAAATAATTTATAATAAATAATTTATTTTAAATAGACTTAATAAAATGATACGCTGGATAATATTTAAAACTAGATATTTAAAGCATTAATCTATTTGAAATATGTAGAAAAAGTACGAAAACATTTACGCCGCTGTGGGAATCGAACCCACGTCGTCGGCCTTCGCGGCCACTTTAACCACTAAGCTAAACGGCTGATTGCCACACCGACTAAAATCTTAACGTCTTTTATCTACATTGGTTTTTAGCATTTGCAGCATTGCTCGGCGCATCCATTGTTATATCCTTTCCAGCATAGAAACAATTTCGCATATCGTTTTACAACGATAATTCGAACGAGAGATGTCGCCACTGCTTTTTAGAAATATGAAATTGTTTATAGTGCTAATCTTTGCGCTTAAGATTGATTGTAGAAAAAAAATTAACGACAAACTTTTCGTCTATTTTTTTCTACAATAATTTATTATTACATTTATTAATATTCATAGTCGCGCGTATATAAAGTTTCAAGAGCACGGTGTAAAAGACGGAAAAAAAGGAAAAAATTTCTTTTTCGCGACAAGAAGTTTTTTTTCTATCACCTATCTGAGCTAATATAAACTACTGTTAGAGTATTTTCAATGAAATCAAATAAAATACTCACTACGAACTGTGAAGCCTTTTTTTCCGCTCATGTATGTACATTTACATGTCATTTGGTAAGACTTTAAAAGGACCATTACTGACTTTAAAAGGTATGGGCCCCGGTTATCTCACGCAAAAGTATCTTTCATTTCACGCCAGTTTTCTAAGAGGTAGTATTTTTACGAGCTTACCTATTCGGCAACAATAGGGGCTACTGTGTCTTATATGTGACAATATAATAAATATATACTTGATACACGGACCCTTAAAATTTCTTGGTAAATAAACCTATGTCGTAGAAATTTATGTTATAGTTTATCATTAAAATCGGGATGCCCGGGTACCTACAAATAAATTTATTTATTTGTAGGTACCCGGACAATAAGTGATTTGTACGAAAAATAATCTTACCAGACATAATACGACAATTTTATTGTAACTTTTATTTATATTTTTATTATCATACGATATTCTACATTTTAATATATTGATCACGGCGTAGGTGGTCTGGTTTGACCACTGACTTTACGATGTAGGTTGCATGGGACGTGTATACTTAAAATAAATTTATCTTCCTTTACTTTGTACTTATATAATAATATATGCCTAATCAATTAATTTCCTGAACAATGGTCTAAAGATAAGGGGCTTTTTAAAATGTGTAGATAAAAACTTAATACGTTTTAATAACATTTAAATCTGCAAAATTTCGGAAAGCTAGGAATATTTAAAAAAAAGTGGTGGTAACACATACTTATGATTTAATGCTACATTATAGTTATGGGCTAGTCGTAGTCCCCAACTTTATGACATTTACCAATAATTCCAAGTTATTTAAATAAAAATTACATTTAATGTCTTTACATTAAAGAAGTATAACATCTTAGGTGCGTACATAAGTAAGTACACAAATACTTTTTTTAATAATGAAAATTAAATTTGCTAAATGTGGACTACATTAATAACGATTAGCTCTCTACGACGAAGCTCTGCGGACTGCCTAAAACCAGTAAGCAAATGACGTTCCATAAATGAATGATCCTGGGAATATTAATTAGTTAAAGTCGTCTATCACATTAAAAAAAAAACGTTTGCAAGTTTAGATGTTAAACGTTAGAGTCATTGACTTGATCGAGTCCTTGGCAGTGAATTTTTTGTAAAGGAATGAGGTCCAGAAATGGCATTCTTGAATAACTGGATATAAAGTGACGGCAGTAGGCCTTTAACGCAGTCCACTTAGATTTCAACCGTAGAAAAATATTGACGAAAATGGTAAGTGCGCTTGATACATTATTGTAGAAAATGTGATAGTTAAAATTTATCAGATGAGTAAACAGAGTTGTACTCCTACACTTTTATATTTGCTTTTTCTAATATGAGGAGCACAAGATTAAATTACAGATGAGAGTTTTAACATGTCGGGCAGTGCACTGAACGAGAAGTTAATTAAGAGAATTCCTGTGTGTGGATTTTACGTAGAGCATAAAAGTTAGTGCTTTTACCAACATTCTGTAAGCATCCGATGTAGATGTACAATTTGTTCCTTGTAAAAGTGGAATTACGTCATCGTAATGACTCATATATTTTCTTTAAATTTAAGTTAATAATAATCAAATGCAGCTGCATTTACTTACGTTTTACTCGATAATTTATAACTTGTTTAACTCGCTGTAAACATAAATTACTTTTATATTAAGAACTAGCTTTTCGCCCGCGGCTTCGCTCGCGTTGAAACCCTTTACAAAACTTTTTCCAATTAAAAAATAGCATATGGCCTTTCTCGTATGCGTATATTTTTTCACTGTTTAATTTTATTTTAAAACTCTCGTTTTGAATACATTACAACATTAAAGGTCACGGACCGGACTGCTGTGTTTTTTATGTTCTTTTACGTAATAGGCGAAGTCTGCAACCTGTTAACGCATACAAAGCTACTCAAACCATTACATCCGATTTGTTTAGAGTAACAACAACTACATAATAACAGTCACAACAACAATAAATCCCCATAATAAGGGAACTAAATGAATTGAAATGTATAGATTTGTGCAGCCCGCAAGTTTTAGACATTTTAAGAAAGGTGTCGATTTCGCATAATCAATAAATCATTAAAACTTACTTTTTTAAATACTATGACTAGATCTTGCTTTATACAAAACAAAAGATGAGTCAAGGAAAAAATTAAGCACATTTATATAACAACAACAGAGTTTCAAATTGCCATAAAATAATATCTATTATTGGAAATTCCACTGAAGTTAAGCTTGTTCGTTGAGTAGTTAACCTTGACATATGCTGTTTGTTGCGCAGGCAGAAGGTGGACACATCTGCCTCATCGTAGCCGGCTTGTTGGCAGCAATTGGGAACTTGCCTAAAGCGAACGGTCAAACGAATCAAATAATAAACTACGTATACAGCAATAATGGTTTAGGTGCCTACAGCTTTGAGTAAGTAGATAAAACAACATTTCACGTAATTTTTTCCGATATAACATTTTCAAATGTTAATCGGAATATCTTATTATATATATTTAGTATAAATATAGATTAATATAATTAACACCAATCAGATCTACTTTTACACAAATGCTATTAAAATCGTAGGTAAAGATTAAGAGTATCCTTAGTTTCTTACTAATAATAATATTACAAAGGCGAAAGTTTGTATGTATGATGGATGTTTGTTACTCTTTCACGCAAATACTACTGAATGTATTTTAATGACACTTAACAATAATATAGCTTATACATCAGAATAAGACAAAGGCTATAATTTATATACATATTTAATGTATATCTTTCCGTCTGAATGTTACGCCTTCAGCCTATTTTACGCAGACATAGTCGCGGGCAGCAGCTAGTAAAGTATAGTCTATACGCTCAACGCATCTCTCGTAATACTAGCTCTATTTAAAATATTTTGTTGAAAATCTTTGATTAATTGATTTAAAGGTAATCGTTTAAACGGCCAAGACTTTTTAGAGGAGGAAAAAGATTCTCATGATCTTTAATAAGTTAAAATATTGATTATTTTATGCTATATCTAAAAAAATATACGAATCACATTGGTATAATTTTTTATTTATTTTCAGGTTTAAAACCTCTGACGGTACCTATAGAAAAGAGGATGGTGGTTTCATTAATAGCGCCGGGAAAAGTACCCTAAGTATTCGAGGAGAGTATGGATATTTCAATCCCACAGGACAGTATTACAGTGTGCGGTACATAGCAGACGCCAATGGATTTCAGCCAAAAATTGATGACGATGGAGTCAGATACAACGATAGGAGAATTATATAATAATTACTAAAAGTGCATTAATTGCCTTTAACAGTCTTCTTCAACTTCAATATAAAATATTAGGCAAATTTTAAAAAACCGAGAGGACATTATTGAATTTATTTTTTAAGAAAAAAATATTTTGTATCATCTTATACGAAAAATGAATTAAAAAAAGATCTAGTCTAGGAAATCTAACTTAGACTTCCTAGACTAGATCTTTTTTTTATTTTTAACTTGGTAACCTTTCACTTCTTAAACGGTGTAATTTTGTCTAAATAATTAATGTTATAACAAATAAATTATAAATTTTAAAACAACTGAATGTTTTATTTACTTTTTTTTAAGAAAAAGAGCAATAATGGTTAGCCGATGAACTTTGATTTATCATTTGAAACTTGCTAAGTATTAAACTTAGTTTATAAGATTGCAATTGAATTAAATACCAATGCACGATAGAGAAGTTACAATTGTGTTGTTAATGACTAAAAGAAATATATCCTTTATGTGAGAAGGTGGCAAGCGAGCTAGCGGTTCACCTGATGTTAAGTGAGAACCGCGTCGGGTTGCAGATGATCCATTAGATACCACCATAAAATGAAGTGAGACCTTCACACCAGAACAAACGTAGAATTATAACATTTCACTTCACGCCAATCTTCTGCAAAGTCGTGGTACTTATCCGAACAGACCCGCCCATTCATGAAGACTGATGCGTGGCCCTACAAAAGTTATGTTTTTGCCCTTCAGCTGCTCAGTTACTTTAACAGTAGGCCACACCTTTGAAAGCTCACACTTTTGAAACAAAGTATCGACCATAATCATCATCAAATTTGGTCACATACCAGTATCCGGCTTGACCAATTGCCACTTTTCTTTTAAAACAACTATCTCATGCTACTTCGTCGTTACGCTAATTAAGAAACAGTGTCTTAGAGACGTGAATATCTGACATTTCAATCTGTTGTTCGTTTAGTCAAAAGTCATATTTGTACACACAGACTGAATGTGGCAACGGTAATTGTTTGCACTCATCGAATTGACCTCGACCAAGCGTTCTGTATATATGTTCTGTACATATGTAGGATAAGTTCAGGAAAGTAGACCGTTATATTAATCAAAAACACTTTAAACACGAACATTAAATAATAAACAAATAAAAATTAAATTATTCTAACAATAATAAAGCAAAATTTGTCTAAAGCAAGTTATATATTCAAGTTTCACAACTAAACTTTGACAAGCCAAAGAAAGTAGCGAAAATTGTAAGTAATACTAATTACATTTAATGTAGTGTCGATGACATCGTTGTCGTTATATAACTCGACCTTGTGCAGAATTAATTTTGTAAGCATTAGGATTATGTTCAAGCAGATATCGTAATTCTGAATGACCCAAAAAGCGTTTCTGGTGAGGAAGGCGGCGGCGAGTGTCGGAGGTCATCGGCGCATCGGTTCAACAATCTGTGACGTAACTTAACATACCTAACATGACCGACATGGTGACTGACTTTAATTTAGTTTTTAAGTACCAATATCAATCATATTATTTAAATTCTCACTAATACTTAACTTTGTACTGAATAAAGTGTTTAAATCTTTAACCACTAATACAATATTTAATGACAGGCCTAATTATTCCCAAAAGTAATAAGGTTTTAATGTGATAAAATATCTTTTAAATATTGTGTATGTTCTACGCCTTATCCGTTAAAGGTTCTCTAAAGTGATGATAAAATAAACTCATAACATTTAAAAAAAATACACTGACTATTTTTCTTAGAAAACAGTCATCAAAAACCGATTGGGCATCAATTATTAGGCGCACACAGAATGACCTTGGTCCTTTCAGTGTATTATTAACATTCAGTTGAGGTCTAAGTCCAAAGCAATAATGAAACATAAACCGTGGCATGATGTGTGTAAGAGCTATTTCTTAATGTTCCTAAACTGCAAAAGTATCATCCGCTAAATATCATCGTTCACTTGAAAATGTTAAAGGCCGCTGGAGCTGATTGACGTTCTCATAACCTTACCGAATGTTGCAAGTAACGTAATGTTCCTAAATATTATAATTCATATTATGTATGCTACAATTTATTTTAAACTAGCTGCTGCCCGCGACTACGTCTGCGTAGAATAGGCTGAAGGCGTAACATTCAGATGAAAAGACAGATGTACATAAAATATGTATACAAATTATAGCTTATGTCTTATTCTGATATATAAGCTATATTATTGTAAAGTTTCAATAAAATCCATTCAGCAGTATTTGCGTGAAAGAGTAACATACATCCATCCATACATACAAACTTTCGCCTTTAAAATATTAAGTAAGGATTTAAACAGTCAGGTTTTGTTTTGTAGATCCGACGAAAATAATTAATTTTCAAGTTATCCGTAGTTCGGGTCAACAGTGACATCAGTACTACAGTATTCGAGGCGTTTATAAAAAATGAACTTTAACTAACATATAAACTTTAACTTTATAAACTTGACTATAAGATAAATTGTTAAATTAGAAATTTTCAATATATTCCAATTTCAAAAAACATCTAGGAAAAATTTTATTTTAACAAAATCTTATGAAACGATAAACATTTAAAAACTTTTTTCTAGTATCCTCTCCCTCCACTTTTACATCTTAAAATTGCTATGAAATAACAAAATATAAACAACATTAACAGAATTATGACTTACGTTTCTGCCAGGAATGAAAATGAAGTAAACAAAATGGAATACGCTAAACTTACTTGTAACTAAAACTTATTAATGTTTCTGTTTTCTAATATATTTAATGTATTGAACACCCAACGATAGTTGCCATATTTATAGTGATATGAGTATTTCTATACATTAAATATTAATATAAAGACTAGATAGCTAAACTAAAGCTAAAACGGTAAAAATTAAAATCAATACTTTCATATGTATACATACGAAAAAATCTAAAAAAATACTTTAACTCTTTAAACAATATGTCCGAATAATTATTAAAATTATATTAACAATAATTTTTCTAAATCTTTAATTTTTTAAATGACGGAAATTGTTTATTAGTTTAAAAAATGTTAGTAGCGTGACGTTAATGCTCATAATTTCACTATATTTTTTTCTTTAAGCGTTTCGCATTGCTGAGACGATTTCATCATCTCTTAATTAACAAGAATCAACGAAGTCACAAAAACTTCCGCGTGAAAACACGAGACCACTATCAACTAGAACGGCAATAACGAGTGTAGAACATAAGTTTAGGACCTTAAAACGGTCATTAACCACGCCTCTTACCAACAATAAAAAAAATTAGGTAATTACATGACTAATTAATTAACTCCAGCGTTGACCTACTGCTATCTTCAGCAAGATCGGATTATTTGGCCTTTATGGGATTACTTAAGTGAAATCCATAGGTCACAACGGTTATTAACTATCACGTGTGTGCATTCACACGATGTCTTCTTACAATAACTTTACCAAGTACAATGAATGTTTAATCTTTTCTTCGCGTACAAGCACCGCCGCTTCAGCCTAGCGGCTATGTTGCAACCTGGTAATAGAAGAAATACCTACATATATAAGACAGACGTTTAGATATGTAACCATCCCACAAATCGAGTATACTTTGAAGAGATCAGTCGTTGAAAAAAAAAATAAAAAGAAGATGAAACTAGTTAGTAGTGATTTAAACAATAACAACAATAGTTTAACACTGGTCTTAGTAACTATTGTGGGTTTTTAATGCATTTTTTGTTACAGCTAATGATGTTCGCTGTCATTGCTGCAGCATCAGCGGCTCCTCAAAACCCACAAGACGTCCAGATCGTCCGCTATGAGAGCGATAACGCTGGATTGAACTCATACAGCTTCGCGTAAATGATTTTGTTATTATCTAAATATTTATTGATATTTTTGCATGTTATACTCATCGTCAATCTCGTTACAGGTGGGAGCTGTCGGATGGTAGCAAACACGAAGAACAAGGACAGCTGAAGAACCAAGGAACTGATAACGAAGCTCTTGCGGTTCAGGGACAATACGGCTGGGTTGGACCAGACGGCGTATCGTATATCATAACCTATATCGCCGATGAAAACGGCTTCCAGCCTCAGATCCAGCAAGGCCCCGGTGGGGCTATCCCCTCGGCAGTGGTTGCTTCCCTATTAGGTTAATTTAATGTAATAGATTAAAACTAAGCAAAATAAATGAAATTGTGGCAAATGTAAATAGCGATATAATTCTATGAAACCTTATATAATATTTATATACAGGTTCAGTAGGATGTTGTAAATACAAGTTTGTATAAAATATTTTATTTCTTGTTTTATTTTTCAATATCTATTCCTTGTTATGTAAGCTTAAAGCTAATGGACAATATGGATAGATATATAGTAAAAAGCATGTATATGTATCATTAAACTACTCCTAGAAATGATGTCAAACCAGCAAAATAAAGAGCGCTTTAGTTTAGTTTTTTTTCAAACAGTTAATACAAGATATTTATTTACGGGATTATATCTACATGGGAGAAAAATAATGGTTTTTTAAAAGATATCCAAATGTATAAAAAACTTAATAATTAAAATGGAAATTGACCCGACTCTTATATGCATAGCGATTCGGATTTGGATCATATTGAGGAGCATCAACTGTGCAGTAGTCTTGCAAAGATTGCAAAGGCATCTCGTATCTTTGCTTTCTGCACAACATCAAACAAGACTTTTGAGTTGAATAAACAATGCTCGCTTTTAATTCGCGAACGAATTTTAGCTATCAGTAACATATTGACTTTTAGGCACGAACCACAATGGTCAACTAACTTCCGTCCAAATCGGAACAAACTCAAAAACTACTAGACCGATTTAAAAAATTCGCTTAGTGATGGAAAGCTACATTATATAAAGTAAGTTATATTTTATCCCCGTATCCTCATGGGTACGGGAACTACGCAGGTGAAATAATTTATATTTATATAATGCATATTAGCCGAGCTATCAAAATTTTAGCGGATGAAGTCGTGGGTGAAGTGTTAGTTTTAATTATAAACAATAATTATTGTAACATAAAATATACATTGTATGCTTGTATTTGTTTCATACATCTCGTTATGTTAAAGCAGATATTTATATTACTTACACACAACAATACTTAATATTAGTACAAGATAGTGTATATGTGACACAAATGGTCTGTTTTATCCAAGCTACGTTGCTGAACCTAATAGATACCGAGTTCTCTGGATAGGCGTTTAAGATAGGTACATAATTATTTTAATCCAATACTTAGCTAGACGTGTAATACGTTTGCGTCTAGTCTGTTGTAATAACAAGTTATTTGCGTTTTTTACTTATAGCTCCCATAATATTGGTGTACACTAAATTCGATTACTGTAGATACGAAACTAAATAATTCTTAAACACTAAGATTATTTTGAGGTTAAAGTGTATCTTTGTGGGTAACGAATGATTTGATTATAAAAATGTTTTCACTAACAAAAATTAACTTTATCGCTGTTTCTATTCATAAAAGTGTTTTTAGTTTTTTATGAACCTTAAGAGGGTCCGTGGGCTCAGTGACTTAGTCATCGAGCCCCCACGCAAATCAGGTGTTGTGCCACAGTGTCACAACTGTCAACATTTTGGCCACACGGCCAATAACTGCTTCGCTCACCCAAGGTGCGTCAAATGCACCGGTGACCACGGCACAACCGAGTGCACGAGGCCGAAAGATTGCGCAGATCCACCGGACTGCGTAAATTGCCACACTACCGGCCATCCGGCTAGTTATAGAGGCTGCGCTAAGGCTCCGAAAACTCCCGCGAGAAAATCTCCCGCGAAGTCTACGTTGCCTAAACCCGCGCCCGTTAAATACATTCCCGCGCCCGTACCCGTCATTAACGCCTGGGCGAAACCCCAGGTGGCCGCGCAGGTTATCGCGCCGGTAATCCCGGTCGCCTCACGACCGATCGCGCAACAGCTGCCCGCCTCTCAAACGGCGCCGCGGCCGCAGGTGCAGCCAATTCCGTCAGTTTTCGCGGAAAACAAGGACGACCCCTTCGCGCAAATAGCAAACATCTGCAGCTTATTAGATAGAATTAATAGGCAGGAACTCACCGTATTGTCCGCTAAAATAGCGGCCGCCACATCTGGCCACGAGCGTCTTAGGGCAATTAGCCAACACAAAACGCTTGTGGAAGCCCTTTGGGCTTTTACGAGCCAACCGTAAAGAACAATAGTCCGCGCGATAAAACCGCGCTCCGCCGCGTCGTAAATTAGACCCATAAAAACACCTTAATGGGAAGTACAACCGCAGGTAGAACAAAACCTCGGGCTCTGGTTGTTTCGTATTTCAACGCAAACGGCATAAAGGGTCAAAGGGATGAAATCGCGGAATTCATTCGCGATTATAACGTAGATATTTTCCTAGTGCAAGAGACATTCTTGAAACCTAGCGTACGCGATCCCAGAATCGCAAATTACAATATTGTCCGCCACGACCGGTTAGCAAACCGTCTGGGAGGCACACTAATTTATTATAAACGGTCCTTGCACTGTTGCCCGCTCGACATTCCAGAGCTAAGTCAAATAGAGGCATCCGCGTGTAGGTTAGCGCTCACCGGCCACAGGCCGCTTGTACTAGTCTCAGCCTACCTCTCGGGGAATAGAACCCTCCTTCAAAGCGACCTAGATACGCTTCTTAACTTAGGCCCTTCCGTGATAATTTCAGGAGATCTAAACTGCAAACACGGCTCATGGGACATCAACAGCATCCCAAACAACAACGGAAAGCATCTCTTAGCTTATCCGATAACCTAAATTTCAGTATAGTCGCTCCCGCGACTCCCACAAGGTATCCTACGGTGGACAACTACCAGCACGCGTCACCGAGTGTCCTAGACATAATGTTATTCAGGGAGGTCTCGCTCGATATCGAGTCGATAGAGACAATCCATGAACTAGACTCAGACCACAGGCCCGTCCTGTGTAAACTGGGCCAGAACGCCGGCGCGGTCCCTCCGACCAAATCCGTAGTGGACTGGCATCGTCTTGAGGTCAAACTCAAGGCCTTGGACCCCCAGGACTTAGTAGACTTACCCGAGACGATAGCTACGTTCGATGACGCAAATCGAGCGATAGCGAGTCTCCGCGAAACTATTACTTCCGCAGTCGCAGACTTGGAACGGACAGTGAAACTGTCGGGCGACCGACGGTTTAACTTTCCGCCCGACCTGCGACTGCTAATTAGACAAAAAAATGCAGCCAATCGCGCCTTCGACCGATACCGATCGGAATCGAACCGAACCCTACTTCGACGCCTTCAGCTAGAAGTCAAAGATCGTGTATCGGAACACCGACACACAACGTGGGACACTCTCCTAGAGGACATCGAGCCATCGCACACCGCCTACTAGCGGTTGGCCCGCAGTCTGAAAGCAGACCCCCGCGAATCTCTACCGCCGTTAGTTAGACCTAATAGCGCTTCAGTAGCCCTAGATGACTCCGAAAAAGCCGAATGCCTTGCGGACAACCTAGAGCAGCAATGTAAGCCATCGTGCGAACACACCGATTCGGCCCACCTAACGGAGGTGGACCGCGTAATCGAGATTAGGGCTGCGCTTCCACCGGAAGGCGAACCTTTAAATTCAGTGACCCCCGAAGAGGTCCAAGATATTATTAAAAATTTAAAACCAAAATCCGCCCCGGGCCCAGATAATATAAGTAATAAGATTCTCAAAGCTCTCCCTGGGCCGCTTATCTGTTTACTGGCGACAATTTTCAATACCCTTCTCTCCAGTTGCTCCTTTCCGGACGACTGGAAGCAAGCCACGGTTATCGGCATTCGCAAGCCGAATAAACCAGCCAATAAGCCCTAAAGCTATCGTCCCATCAGCCTCCTCAGTTGTCTGGGGAAGCTCTACGAGCGGCTATTGTTAAACAGGCTCAAAGAGCACGTGTTTTCCAACGGCCTTCTGCCGACGGAACAATTCGGCTTTCGAGCTAGACACTCTTGTCCCGATCAGCTATACCGCCTAACGGAGCACATCCTAAAAGGCCTTAACCACCCCAAACACATTAGTACAGGGGCTCTATTCTTCGTTGTCGCAAAAGCATTCGACAAAGTCTGGCACAACGGCTCGCTTTACAAGCAGTACACACTCAAAGTGCCAGATAGGCTCGTACACACCATCCGGGCCTTTTTGTTGAACCGCTCTTTTCGATATCGAGTCGAGGGCACCCTCTCCACAAGCCGCCGCCTCACGGCCGGCGTACCACAAGGCTCCTGCCTCTCTCCCTTGCTATTTACGCTCTACACGAGCGACATACCTAGAGACCCCCACGTCAATCTCGCGCTTTTCGCGGATGACACGGCGCTCTTTTACTCAGATCGCAACCTCAGTCAATTAACAACTCGACTCCAAAGCGCCGCCGACCGCCTCGGCGATTGGTTCCGCAAATGGAGAATCGATATTAATCCCGAAAAGAGTGTGGCGATTCACTTCACACGAAGTACCTACCCGTCACATCTTATTGGCCCTCGCCAATGCAGAAAGTTGGGGCAAATATCCCTTTATGGCCAACCGCTCCCCTGGGAGAAAAAGGTCAAATACTTAGGAGTCACTTTCGACTCGCGTATGTCATTTACTACGCACATTAATAACGTTCGTAATAAAGCCGCGTTCGTCTCCGGCCGGCTACACAATTTAACTAATGCTAAAAGTAAAATGCCCTTAAGGCACAAATTATTATTATATAAGACCTGCGTACGACCTATTATGTCCTACGCATGCATGATCTTCGCCCACACGCACCCTACTCGCTTGTACAAGTTGCAAATAGTACAAAATAAGTTTATCCGCCGCGCAACCGGTGCGCAGTGATATCAGCGCAACGTCGACCTGCACAGCGATTGCATACTCCCGACGATTCGCGCACATTTTAAAGATTTGACAAAACGGTTCTTTGATAGAGTCCAGCATCATCCCAACCCTCTAGTGGTAAGCGCAGCAAACTACCAACCGGACACAAACGCGAACGTAAACAAGCGTCGCCCGCGAAACGTCCTCATCGACCCGGTCGACGAAGAGGACTTAGATACGATGGACCCACCGCCGGGGGTCCCGCCGGATAACACTACACCCACAGTTAGTGTAACAACAATCACACCAGTTCGCCCTCGCCTCCGAGCACGGCGAGACCCACACAACGCGTACACAAGGTACACCCGCGTTCCGGGGCGGTTCTCACCGCTCCCAGCCACCGATTAGCTAAATGCACAGTCGACGGCCGTCGGGGTCTCGGTCCGAACCGCCGACCTCGACGGCCCTTAGATGACACACCATAGTAGTTAAACGCACGCATGAGCACATGCGCGACCCTACCCATAGCGGAGGGTCCAAACCCGTGGGTTCTGGCTAGCCCACCGGTTCTGCGTCCGATGAAGCTTTAATAGTCTCGGGACTGAAAGCAAAAACATCAGTTAATACAAGATACAAGATTGTACTGTAGATGTTTTTTTAAGGTTGGCTCGTAAAAGCCCAAAGGGCTTCCACAAGCGTTTTATGTTGGCTAATTGCCCTAAGACGCTCGTGGCCAGATGTGGCGGCCGCTATTTTAGCGGACAATACGGCGAGTTCCTGCCTATTGATTTTATCTAGTAAGCTGCAAATATTAGCGATTTGCGCGAATGGGTCGTCCTTGTTTTCCGCGAAAACTGACGGAGTTGGCTGCACCTGCGGCCGCGGCGCCGTTTGAGAGGCGGGCAGCTGTTGTGCGATCGGTCGTGAGGCGACCGGGATTACCGGCGTGGTTACCTGCGCGGCCACCTGGGGTTTCGCCCAGGCGTTTATGACGGGGCGAAAGCGGGTTAGCGCCATAGTACATTATATACTGAGATGTCATGAGCCAATAATCGTGCGTAAAGGTTGAATTTACGCTAAAACCTTGGATCCAATTGTTTCAATTTCATAACTGTAAAGGTATAACTTGTAAAACAAAATTATCAACTTAATTTTTTCGAATTACAATTTTTTGTTAAAGTTGTCCTGTATATTTTACATGCAATTATTTTACAAACTATAACAATGACATAGCCGCCGCAGTTATGCCAGTAATTTAAGTAATTTAAGAAAAGATCGAGAACTATGTAAACCGATATACTTTTAAATACTTTACATAACAACCAAACTCGCAATGTTAAAAGTAAAATGATTGCGTGTCCGTGATTAAATTATGTCAAGATGTCCATTAAATAAAGATAATGGCAATATAAAAAATGAAAAACAAATATTCCAGGTGTAAATACTTATAATCACTTGTGTTATCTTCAATATTTTTGGCATTGAATGAAGTGTCAGTGTTCTGACAAGGCTTTCAATTATATCATCGATTTTGTTATGAATTTATACTACTGTATTGCGTCACGTCATTGATCAAGAGCAGGTATTTACTTGTTTATTGGAAACCAGATCATTATTCTATAGATTATTTTATAATATGTGAATAATAAGCATTATTTCATTCTTGTTAGACAATGTCTTCATGTTTTCAATTTAAGGATTACTTTATATTTTTAGTTTTAGTGATTAACTTTTTAAAGTTTCTTCTTGAGTGCAGAGGTTAGGACTAAAAATTTAAAGTAAACCTAAAATTTTTAAGAGCATATCTCTCGTTACCAATGTTCGCCGTTGAATGTTCTTTGAAATGTATTGCACGCTGTAAAGGATGCGTACCAGATGGCGACAAGCATTGCTAAAAATTGTTATAGAAAAAACTTAGATAAATGTTAGATTACTACTTACTACTTAGATTTTTGTGCCGTGAGGTCATTAACAGCTTAACTTAGTTAGTTAAACGTCTGAGCGCGAAACCGGAAGACGCAGTTTCGAATGCCGCAGTGCCGAAAGTTATTGTTAATGTTTGTTGTAAATAGCTGTGTTACAAAATTTTATTTTTATATTTGTTTTTTTTTAACATTGCGCTTACTTTAGGATGACATTAGCCGGTGTCCCGTATGGGAATTGAACCCACGACCCCCGAAGCCAAAGCCTTTTACCTTCGATGATATGGTGCAGATGCCAATTACCTTGGCATCTGCACCATATCATCGAAGATAAAATATGTATATATAATATGGACTCCATGTTTGCTATCCATCCTGTCTTCATTCAGAAGGTAATCAGGTATTCAGACCACTCGTAAACCTGAAATCAGAAAACCTTCTCAGCATCTTAAGACATTTAATGACAACTAGACTACTTCTTTATTTTCGTAATAATAAAAGTTTTTAATTTCGATTGATATTACTAAATCACACTATGTTTACGGATTTATCCCGTTTTTTTTTTTTTTTTTTTTTTTTGAATTTCCGACGTTTCGAACCCTTTACAGCGTTCATGGTCACGGTACATACTGAGGCGTTGGACATCTGAATGTCATTGTTAATCCGGGCTACCGCCAGTTTTTTTAACTTAAGTCTGACTTAAAACATCACAGAGTAAATAAGTCTGCAGTATGTGAGAATCTGTGAGGATGCAAGGATCTGTGGTCTATCAAACCTGATATAATATATCAATCCCCAACCATTATATCAGGTTTGATACACCACAGATTCTTGCAAATGTTAAATTAAAAAAAATTATATAAAATTATGGAATTAAAATGCTTAACACGTAAATGCGAAAAAATAATTAGTAATCATTTTTGTTTGACATATCACAAATTTATATATGTAACTAGCTGATCCGGCGAACGTCGTTTTGGGGAATTTTTAGCTGACCTCTACTCGGCGAAAGGAATATTCCTACCAAATTTCAAGTCTCTACGCTTTATGGTTCTAGAGATATCGTGATGAGTCAATTATCAGTGGAAATATCTTACAACTGTATAGACAACGCACTGAAAAAAGACAATAATATACATTATATAAAGATATACAAAAGATTAATTTATTGCATTCCGAAAAAGATAGTCAATCAAATTTTGAGTCCGAGAAAGATTGAATGATATAAAAATCTCGAATAAGAAGCCTTAATAATCTACGGAATATAATCAAAAATTCAGTTCTAATATGTCAATTGCACACACTTAATTTTACACACACACACACAGAACAGTGAAAATAATTTTCTTCATCTTTACACACTTAATTTGAAATAAGAAAAAATAACAAAATTATAAGAATAATGTAATTTTTGATTATGATGGCTCGTTTGACTGATGAACGAACCGTTTGACATAAAACAAATCTAGCCGGTAAAATTAATTTAATAACGATAAGACAAGCAATAAATAAGCACACCAACTATCACAGATTCCTAGAAATTTTCGTTATACGATCTAACGTGACATCGAAATTTCAGTGATATGCATCAATCAATATTATTTGTTTTGGTTATCAATATTTTATTTGTTTTTAAAAATTTAAACATAAACATAAAGAAAAATAAGAAAGTTTTTAGTAAATATAATCGTCTTATTAAACAATTAAGACGATTATATTTACTAGAACTATTCAACAGAGACAAATTAATTAAAATTTATTTTTTAATTAGGTCTCTATTAATAATATAAGTAATAATTCAAATAAATCAATCGCATCCGTGAAGGTTTTGTAAAAGACCCATAATAAACGTCTAGATATGTCGTATTTAGTTAAGGTATTTTACATAACAATCAAATATAAAAGAATTGTCGACGGAATAGGCTAATTGCCTAAACAAATTCGTTCATGCCGTTTTTCTAAATACGTTATAGTTAATGCGGTTTACCTCCACCACCGCGTCTCAAGCAAGTATTTAAATATTACAACAAAACTAAGTCATCTGGTTCAGATATAAAGGTTGCAAAACCTAGCAACCTTCTAGTGTCGCTTTTTGGTCAACGTTGACGTGTCATCGAATTATGAAAGTGGTACGTAGTGCGTTTGGACTGTGAATTAAAAATAAATATACATTTTTCTAGTACACGCTCTTTAAAAAATGTTTTATTTTTTGGTAGATAGTAGCATTGTGTTTGCTGGGCCTTGCCTTTGCTGCACCACCACCAGCATCCTACACCTCAGACAGCAAAAACGCTCAAATTCTCCGATATGAAAACGATAATACCGGATTTGGATCATACAAGTTTGAGTAAGTTGCATGTAATATTTTTTTGTTAATCACATTTAATGCAACATGCAATGGTCTTTATATTCAATAATTTTTCTTTAATTTTTAGTTAATAATTATATTTCGTTACGAAAAAAATTTATACCTTCGGTTTGTATAAAAGTAATTTTCTCTAATAATTTAAAATTTAAATATTCTCTGGATTCATCATTCATGTTTAATATTAAATTAATTAATTAGATGTTAGACTTAATATTTGAGATGTATTTAATACTTATTTTTTGTTGTTCGTTAGTAGAATTTAAAGCAACGCACGTAACGCTGTTTCACTGCTATTATTATATTTAACTAAGAAAAAATATATTTCTCTAGGTGTAAAATTATATTTTTCTAATCATTAAAATATTTTAATCATCCACAAGTTCCAAGATTTATTTTAAACATCATAATGATTTGTTTTTATTTTTAGTTTTAAAAACCAGTATGTATTTATTTAAAAGCTTAGTTTTTTAAAATACTTTGAATAAGAATAATTAAAAAATATTTGATCCAGAATCGATATTCAAGGGCACCTGATATAAATGTCCAGTTCTTAAAATTGCCATTGCCAAGGTAGACAAGAATTAAAAACAACAAACAATGAAAGGAACTGCCCAATCAAGCATAAGTATCTATTAATCAAAGAACTGGCCTTGTGGTGAAACATGACACTGCCATAAGATGTTGTTTAATTAAATATGTTAATAATTGTGTTGACTTTTCGTTGATCTAAAATGATATTAAAATTAATTTTGCGCTAGTGCAATTTAAACTGATTTTATTATTTTACACTCCTGAAGTAATATTAATTTCTTGTTTTTCGCGAATATTATACATTTTGAAATAAAACTATTTTACGGATCTTATCGCATATTTATAGCATAGATTTTTAAATTCCCGACGTGCAAATCCAAGAATATCCTTTTGCTTAGATTGGAATAAAAGTAAATAATAAAGTAATTAACGGTAGCCCGTCGATCGAGCCGAGGTCCGGCCCTCTCGTGCACCCTCGAATCGGAATGCTAAACGCGTTTTGAGTGACAGCGCAAGCCGAGGTCCCCTCTCGGGGACCCTTGAGCCTAGTCACTCCATGGAGCGTCCGCCAAAGCGCCATAAGAGCTTGGCGGCCAGCCAAATCGGTGAAACTAATAGGTAACGGCTCGAGCCGAGGTTCCCTCGGGAGCCCTCGAGCTTAGTCACCATAACGCGTAATAATAATACGCCGAAGTTCAGGCTAGGCGCCCCGAGCGCCTGGCCACCTCATGCCCGTCGGATCTGTAAAGGCCCCATGGCCAACAGTTGCTCACCCAGCCAAAAAAAAAGCGGTAGCCCGAGTTCACACTAACATTAAGACGTAAGACAACTCAGTCTGTCCCGTGACGATGAACGCTGTAAAGGATTTGAAACTTCGGGAATTTAAAAATCTAATTAAACGCGATAAAATCCGTAAAATAGTTCATTTTTCCCATCCCGAAGTAATATCAATAAAAATGTGACGAAATTCTAAAACATAGAAGAAAGATGTGTTTTTAAAGTTCTTGATAAAGAAGAAAGATGTTTCTTTCTTCTTTCTTTCTCTCCTTTTTTATTGTGCCAATACTTAATGGTAAAATTGTGAAAGTAATAAGATTATAGTAAAAACTTGAAAAATTTTCACTACTCACCCAAATGTCTTTGTTGTCAGATTCGAACAGACCGATGGCACGAAACACGAGCAGCAAGGTGAGGTGGTAAATGAGGGCCGTGAAGATGAACATCTTACAATTAAAGGAAGATTCACATTCGTGGCACCAGACGGTGTAGTTTACACCATTACGTATGTCGCTGATGAAAACGGTTACCAACCTGAGATCGAACAGGGGCCAGGTGGTGCTGTGCCGGACGCGGTAGTCGCTTCGCTTCTTGGTTAATTGGATAAGCTTTGTTACCATGTTGTTGTTTCAATTAAAAATGTAAACGATACCTTTTTATATCATTTGTACACTCGCATTTTGTGGGACCCCAAAGCTTCAAGAGAATAACACAATTAGTTATTCAAAAATACATTATGTACAAAGTAAAATTTAGACCTAAAGCTGACATATTTCATAATATCGAATAGTTAATGCCTATTGCGCCCTTTGTAACCCCTCTTTACGGTGTTTCAATAAAGAAATAGAATTTATATAAATTTGCTTAAATCAGGCTCTGTCAGAATTCCGGAAATTAATGAATTGCACAGATTTTTCAAACGCTTTAATGACTGTATATAAACTAAGAATTTTATACTAACATATCATTATGACGAGAGATGTCATATTATTTGCGCTGATTTCATGAACATACATTTCTAGGTAACAATGCTTAGATTAACAATGAGTACAAAAATACATTCGGCACACATTAATGGAATTTCCGTAAATACCAAGTTAAAATTTCTAATACTGGCAGAAATGAAAGATTGATGATTAAATATTGCGAAAATAATTATTTGGATATCTAAGTAAACTTACAGGTAGGGAATGCTTGAGCTTAAATGTACAGGTGTTCAGACTGATGTATTATACTCCTGTTCTCATTTTAAAATACAACAAAATGTATTATAATTTTAACCCTACTTCAATATGGTTACACTTTTCTTAAAGTAATAGCGTTTGAGGTGATAAGGTTGTTAACCATTTCACAGTATATTGTTTATTATTAATAATTTAAATTAATGCACTTCCAATGTAGATTAATAATAAATTTAAGACAGTGCTTTGAATCGACGTGTCCACTTAATCTTGGCTGTAGAGTGTAATAATACAATTTATTCAAATAAAAGTGAAAGTTCAATCGTTAGACTGTAAATTAATAAGGTATCCGGTTAAAAAAATTAACGTACTTAGAGTGTTAGCATTTATCCGGGCAAGTTCAATTTGAATTTTAAAGCCTAAAAAGTAATATATATTTCTATATCACTCAGACTGCTGCTTTTTCCCACTATTCTTTATTTATATTTACTTAGTTCCACAACACTCATTCCAAATCATACGTATATGTCTACCACTTCAAAGATTTTCTATTGACAATAAAACTGAGACAGAATTAAAATGTCAATTTGGCTTATTCATATTTGGAATTATTCATATTTACAAAGCACAAAACACTTGTGTTCATCGACTTCCAGCATATTAGACACAGGTCATCACTCCATCTAGTGGGGGCTTGATTCACTACACTGCGATGGCTAGTACGACGCTGCTCCTCGAGAACCTCTATTCCTCATCGGTTATCAGTTTTACGATTTGTATGGCCGGCCAATTGACACTTTATGTGTGTTGCCTACGGAACTGTGCCGTGGGAAGAACTCTGCTGGCCGTATAAAGAAACTCTAAGTCACTCAGCGAGCTATGGACCGGCCTATGGTCGGTATTCTTCTGTGAATGAATAAATGGATAAAATATGCTTTACTGTACACCAGACAAAAACTAGAAAAGTTTTTCATAAAGGTACAATTGGCGGCCTTATCGCTTAAAAGCGATTTCTTCCAGGTAACCACGTTACAGAGGATACACTGACCAGTGAGAAGGGGTTGCGGTGTACGCTACTGTAAATATAATTCAAATAAGTCACTGTTATAAACACATGTACATACATATAGAAAATAATAAATCTGTGTGATAGTCTTAAAAGAGATATCCTTTATTCTAAAAGAAATACTTTTTAAACTTTCTAGTAATCAGAACAGCGTACCAATAAAAAATTATGTAAGAAAATGTACGTACTCTTATTTTGAGAACCCATTAAAAGTTAAATCATCGTACTCCTTCTTACATTCAAATCAACAGTTTTTAATACGAGATATATTCTTTTCCAATATAAAACAAATTATTTCAGTACATTAAATAAATTATGCTGAAAATAACGCATTCAAGTAGATTTTACTCGGGACCATATAGAGTGACCCTTGCATCTCACTGACCATTTTCAACCGGGAAGGTTCTATGCGCAACAACTTTCTGGCATGTAATTTTGAATTACAAAATATAGTAATATATACACAATATTTTTTATGTGATAAGATGACAAGCGAGATGGCGGTTCAACTGATGGTAAGTGATAACCGCCGCCCATGACTATTTATAACTCCCATAGGGCTGCAAAGGCGTTGCCAGCTTTTATTAATGCAAAGACACGGCTACCTCACTCACCAGGGGAAACACAGAAGCATAATATTTCTACTTTACGTCGTTCTTCTGTGAGGTCATGGTACTTCCCCGGACGGACCTACCCATTCGTGCATCTGCGACTTGATACGTGGATGACAAATCCGAATTTCAATGACATGCACCAATATTTTTTTGTATGACAGGCCTTATCGTCATATTGGCAAAATTTATAGAAACTAAATAAACAATAATAAAAAAAGGTATTTTTATAATATGATTATCTTTATCAGAACTATTAACAAGTGGCAAAATAATTAAAATAGCTTTTTAAGTAACCACTAAAATGAGAAATTCGGGAAAGTCCCTTCGACTTTAAAGCTTTTTAAATTTTGTCTTTATTGTTAAAACCTAAACAAAAATTGTTAGAAAAGTGTTAAAAATGTCAAAAAGTGTTTAATTCTTAAAGCATTCGCATCCGCGAAACGTTCATAATAAAAGAGCCATAATTCAAATTTAGACAAGTGATATTTAGTGTACGCTTACATTATAATCAAATGTCATAAAAATCTTCGATGGAATTGGCTAATGACCTAAACGAATTCGCGCTTGGATTTTTTTTAAATAGCTCAACGGTTTACCTCCACCACCGCGTCACAAGCAGGTATTTAAATATCACAACAAAACTAAGTCATATTGATCAGATATAAAAGAATGCAGAACATTGCAACCTCCTAGTATGGCTTTTTGCTCTGCGTTGACCTGTCATCGAATTATGAAATTGGTACGTAGTGCGTTTGGACGGTGAATTAAAAATGAATACATCCTTTTTTCTTGTACACGATCTTTAAAATATCCATTTTTCCTTGGTAGATAGTAGCATTTTGTCTGCTGGGCGTTGCCTTTGCTGCGCCACCACCAGCATTCTACTCTTCAGACAGCAAGAACGCAGAAATTCTCCGATATGACAACGATAACACCGGATTTGGATCATACAGATATGAGTGAGATGCACTTAATTTTTTTTATCAAATTGAATGTATCGTGCAATGTTTCTTAAATTCAATACTTTTTTATATTTAATAATTCTATTTTATTATAAAAAATATACTTTTCTGTGTGTAAACGTAATTTTTTAAGCATTAAAATGTGCGCAGGTTACGTTGAACATTTATATTTAATATAAACATAATTTGATGTTAGACTTATTGAATATTTGAGTTTTTGGTTTTTCGTTAATCAAATTTAAAGCAACATGTAATAATTCTTATGTTCAACATGTTTTTTTTTTTACTTTTATTTTTCTATTCTACTTCGAAAAAAATGTATATTTCTGTGTGTGTTAAAGTTAAAGTACATTTTTTCTAATTATTAAATATCTAACCTCTTAAAACCTACGGCCCTTTTAAAAGTATAATAGTTTGTAGTTATTCCATCCTGAGCTTTAAAACATACTTGGGTTCGATTCCCACAGCGGCGACAATCTTTTCGTACTTTTTCTACGTGTTTTAATGTTCAATCTTAAGTGCAGAGATTAGCACTATAAAAAACTTTAAAATAGGTGATAAATATTTTAATTTCTGGATTACTATGTGTATACTAATAGTTAAGCTTTATAACTGATTTAAACTCGAACGCATTAGTAGTCAATAAAAACAATTTCAAAATTTTATTTATATGTCAAGCCGCAAATGTTTTTAAATTGACATATTTTATTTAATAATTTATTCATAAATAATTTTTATCTGATGATGGAACAATTCAAAAAAATATGAAGCATTCAGACAACGCGAACACATAAGCTGTACAAAGTGAATTAGGGCATAGTCCTCCTGCCAGTCGGTATGGTCCTCGACTCCAAAATATTTTTATTTTGTTATTATTACCATGATATACAGTTTTCCTCGCGGTGTTTCCTTCTCCGCTGTGCACGTGATAAGCCAGCACTTAAAATTAACAATTTCATGTACGAGTAGCCTGAGTTCATCCCCGGCACCGGGAACTGAACTAAGGTTGCTCGAGTATATTGGATTTGAAGCGAGAGCCCCGACAATGAGCCATCACGGCACTTCGTGCGTCCAGTGTGCCAGTTATTTTGTGAAAAAAAGATTCAATATAATTTATTAATTACTTGGAATTTTATGTAAATGTTAAAAGTTCGTTATTGGTTGCCATAAACGTGTCGCTTTTAAAACACGTGTGGCATCGTAAAAAATTAGCTCTCATTATTTAGGGTTCCGTACCCAAAAGGTAAAACGTGACCATATAACTAGGACTCCACTGTCTGTCTGTTTGCCTGTCTTTCCATCCGTCTTTCACCAGGCTGTATCTCATGAACCGTGCTCGTTAAAGAATTGAAATTTTCACAGATGATGTATTTCTTCTGCCGCTATAACAAGAAAAAACAGAATAAAAAAATATTTAAAAAGGTCTCCCATATAACAGACGTGATTCTTTTGCCGTTTTTATAGATAATGGCACGGAACCCTTCGTGCGCCGACTCGCTCTTGGCCGGTTTTCACTTTTCGTAAACACGGCAAAAGAAGTATAACTTCAAACATATCATTTTAAAGAATCACGACGAACATTCATTCAATAGCAATGCTTTAAAATAATTGATCAGTTGAAATGGCTGAAAGAAGTTAGGTAGTACGGTCTGTAAAATGATTATCATTAATAGTTTGTATAAATTTAAAAAAAATAACAGGTCAATGTAAGTTGCCATCAGATCTCTATGATCAATCATATTAAATGAAGTTCATCTTGGCGTGGACAGTTGTTTGTTACAGCGGATTTAAACATACATACAACCTTACGTTTACGTGTATACGTTTATGTCTCAGTAGCAAATTAAAAAACTTCAGCGTGAAACCAAAAGACACAGGTTCAACGAATCGAAAAATTTTGTTCATTTGTCTACAAAATCTTACAATTTATAATTATTAAATAATTTTAAAATCAAATTTTTACTATTGCAATTATGAAACGAACTTTTACACTACCGAAGTAATATCAATAATAAAAATGATAATTGGCGTAGGGAAGTGACGACCCCATCGCCCGCCGGCGTAACAGTTTAAGTGACAAAACTGTTGCATCGGCGCAATCAGTCAGCGCCTTGCCAATAGGTGTTTGCACCGTGCCTAGGCAAAAGTGAGGGTGCATAGGCCCGTCTGTGCGTTCGGCCACACTATAGAAAACGGTGCCGGTCTGGGGGCGTCTTCCGCTAAATGACGCCCTAAAATATAATGGATGATGGACTCCCGAAGTATGCGCATAGGGCCGCTGCCTGGGGGCCGCCAGGGCGCGTCTGGAGCTGGCGCTGGACGTGGCAGCATGCGGGACGCCAGCCGAGCGCGGGGTACTGCACGCCCACCAAGCAGTACCTCGCATCCATCATCCCCACCAGTTGGCTTGGTGTCGGCAGGATCCTCTCGAATCCAGCAATCGGCACCCGCCGCTGGTGGAATACGCCGCTTGCGCTGGACGTCTGAAATGAATCAGAACGCAATGCGGGCGTATTTTAGGGCAAAAGAGAGTGAAACTGGAGGGTTTGCGTATCGGGCAAGGATGCATCGCTTTTTTGCTGAGCTGGAGCCATCTTTAACCGTCACCGAGCAAAACCTAGCAGACAGAGTTCGGTACATCATGCGCTCAAAAATAATTGATGATGCCGAGCTCGAACGACTTCGACGTGAGGCTGTTCCCTCATCGGATGAGAATGCAGTAGCTGGAAATGCGACCCCGCAACCTGCGGATCTCGCAGGGTTACAAGTGGAAGCGGAGGCCGCGTTTTACCCCCCGGCTCCTGTAGATTCGTGCGATGATGGAATAGTCGCCCAAGAAATAGAGCAGATGAGAAGTATATTGGAGGAGGCAATTCTGGAGGTGCGCGAAAACGCCTCTCGAGTATCGACCACGTCTCCCCCGCATACCCCTAAGTAAGCGGAGTCGGTCTGTCGTGAGGTCTCTTAACCCGATGCTGGCAACCTATTTGGAAGCTAGCCGGGATCTTTGCGATACGGACTCAATTCTCTTTGGCGCTGCACTGGCAGTATGCCGAATCGTTGGCGCCAAACTTCCCAAGGCTGGACGTGCTACCAGACCAGGTAGCACTATCCCAGCATGGAGAAGAAGAATTGAGAACCGTATCGCAAAGGTAAGGGCCATCATCGGCAGGCTGATAAACTTCAGGTCGGGCAATAATAGGCCCAGAATTGTGCGCACCGTTAGGATGGCGTTCGCTGGGATCAACATCAACTTGTCCCAGTCGGATATTACGCAAAAACTAACGGAGCGCATAGATGACCTGAAGCAGAGGATCGCTGCTTGGGGGAAGCGGATTCGGAGATATACCAAGAGGACGCCGCGGTTTCGCCAGAATCGCCTCTTCCAGAGTGACCAAAAGAGGCTCTACAAATCTTTGGAGGGACCAATGAGCTGTGGAACGGGCCAAGGACCGGACCAGGCAGACACTGTCGCCTTCTGGCGCAGCCTGTGGTCAGAGCCCGTAGACCACAGCGAGGACCCTTGGACACAAGTCGTGGCGAGCCAATGTGCAGACATTACATAACGGCATAGACTTATCTATGCCCGTTAACATAAGGACCCTCTCAGAGGCTGAAACATACCGATACCTGGGTATGTCACAAAACATGTGTATCGATGAGACTGGCATGAAACAGTCAGTTCGTGGCGTGTTTTTTGCACGCCTGACAAAGGCATTTAACAGCCACTTGTCAGGCGTGAACAAGGCACGCGCATTTAACGGCTGGGTCATGCCAGTCCTCATGTATACCTTTGGCATACTCAGGTGGACTCAAACTGAGCTCAACGCCCTGGATCGAAAAGTCCGCACAACTATGACGTCCCACAGAATGCATCATCCGAGATCGTCAGTGATGAGGCTGTACCTGCCGCGGAAGCATGGCGGGAGGGGCTTTTTAAGCGCCCTCACCATGCACAATCGCGAGGTGTGCAGCCTCCGTAACTACTTTCTGGCGAGGTCGGATGAATCAATCTACACGGACGTCATTAGTTGTGATAAAGGACTTACACCTCTATCCTTAGCCAACGAGCAATGGCAGGACCCGGGAGTACTGAGCGTTTCCGACCGAGAGACCGTATGGAAGGAGAAAGAGCTCCACGGGAGGTTCTACAAGGCTCTACACGAGCCTTTCATAGATACCGTTGCCTCCCTTAACTGGCTACGTTTCGGTGACCTCTTTGGGGAAACCGAAGGTTTTGTCTGTGCGATACAGGATCAGGTTATTAAGACGAACAACTATCGGAGATACATCCTAAGGGATGGCACCGTCGACATCTGTCGAGCTTGTCGCCATCCCGGGGAGTCGCTACGGCATGTTATCTCCGGTTGTTCCATGCTTTCTAACTCTGAGTATCTGTATAGACACAACCTAGTAGCCAGAATTCTACACCAGGAGCTCGCTCGGAAATACGGACTCGTGGAACGGAAACTGCCGTACTACAAGTACTCTCCGGAGGCCGTGCTCGAAAATGACCGCGCCAGGCTCTATTGGGACCGGCCCATCATCACGGACAGGACGATTGTCGCGAACAAACCTGACATCGTGGTGATGGACCGGGCACAGTCGCGGGTATTTTTGGTCGATATTACCATTCCATATGACGAGAACCTCGTGAAAGCCGAAACAGATAAGAAGACGAAGTATCTGGACTTGGCTCACGAGGTGACCGACGTGTGGGGTGATGTGCCGACCGAAATTATCCCAATAGTCGTGTCTGCGAATGGGTTAATCCCAGTCAGCCTCTCCGAACATCTGAGGCGACTGGGACTCCGGGACGGAACGCTCCAAGCTCAAATGCAGAAAGCGGTGCTCCTCGATACCGCCCGCATCGTCCGCCGGTTTCTCTCCCTCTCACCCTAACCCTCGGCCGTTTGGTCTCCCCTGCCGAGGGCTTCCGTCTGGTTGGGTCTTATTTATTTATGTATTATATATAATATTTATATCTGTATATTTATTTTTATTCATAATATTTATTTTATATATGCAATATATATTTATATGTTTATTATTTATCCCCAAACCCAACCAGACGAGAAAACAAATAAATACCCCTATAAAAATGATAAAACATCAATTTATAACTTTGGGTCAATTAAATACTTTGTCATTACTACTAGACAAAATATAACAACGAGATTTATAATATTTCGTTTTAACAAACAAAAACTTTTCAAGAACATAAAAGCGAATTTGTTAGAGTTATAAAGTTGTTAAATTCGTGGAGATAAGTTATGTATATAAGAGACAATTCTCACCCAAACATTTTTCTGTGCAGATTCGAACAGAGTGATGGCACAAAACAGGAGCAGCAGGGGCAAGTAGTCAATGAGGGCAGTGAGAATGCATATCTGGCGGTTAAAGGAAGATTCTCCTACGTGGCTCCGGACGGCGTAGTTTACACCGTTACGTATGTTTCAGATGATAAAGGTTACCAACCTGAGATTGAAAAGAGTTCTTCTCTGGGTGTCTCTCTGGCTGGTGCCCCACCAGCAGCGATTGCTTCGTTTCTTGGTTAATAGTATTAGTGTTGTTGCGATGTTGTGATTCGAATTAAAGTATAAACAATAACATTTTATATCATTTATACACTCGCATTTTCCCCAAAGCGGCAAGATATTAACGCAATTAGTTTTTTCAAAAATCTACAAAGTAAAATTTAACCCTAAAGCGGACATTATTCCCTATATTTATAATATCGAATATTACATTTGTGTTGGAAACAACAACTTCCCTTAACCAGACCCTGTCGGAATGAATTGAACAGATTATTCAAACGCATGAAAAATCATACATTTCATTCCTTTAGGCCATTTGACGATTGTAAGGTTGTTGTTGGACGATTGTAAGGACTTGTTTTAACGGTGGTAGGGCCACGCAACAGAGTTCGCTGTTGCACGAATGGGCAGGTCCGACCGGGTAAGTACCACGACCTCACAGAAGACTGGTGTAAAGTAGAAGTGTTGCACTTCTGCGTTTCGTCTGGTGAGTAAACTAGCCGGGGCCCACATTATAAAGAGGTGGCAAAGCATCTGCAATCCTACGGGTGTTGCAAATGTCCATGGGCTCGTTTGCCACTTTACTCAAAAAAAGTTTTTTTTTCTATCTTAGCAATATGGTGAAAGAGGCCGTATTATTTGTACTGATTTTGTCATAAACATACATTTTCTAGTAGTAAATAAGAATTGTAAGATTAACAATTGTGCAAAAACACTAAGCGCACTTAAATGGATTTTTGGTTTTGGAACCTGAGCTCATGTCAACAGGTTCTTCATGCTTGGACTCAACAAGGATGTTGCTCCACCGGTCGCTTGGCCTCTTGGATCATCGGCCAAGTGATGTTACGAACTTCTGGTTTGAACAAAAAAATAAAAAAGAACTTTTAATATTACACACACGCATCTTGTGGCAAGATAAGGCAAGAGAATAACCTACTTATTTCAACAACATTCATTAATTATTTCAATAACATATTCTCTATAAATTAAAATTAGACTGTGCTCATTATTGCTGATCTATAATAAAATAAAAAAACTTTATTAAAAAAAGGTAAATTACAACAATGTTTTCAAAAACTTAAATGTCGGTGAAACATTTTCTGTCTAGTAATCAGAAAATTATTTCTTCTATGCTCTTCCATAACAATTTTGCAGGTTTTGTTGTAAAGTGGATTTACATAATCTTCGCGCGTCGCAGTCTCACCTTGTGACAAAAAAGTTCATCTTGAGCTGATTTCACGAAGTTTTCTCCCCACCCTGAAAAGTAGACTCAGGGAGGCTGAGATTCAGGGTATCAGGGTATTCTCTTAACTCAGGACGATGACATGCAGAGACTAAAAGACTTGCCTTTGGAGTGGTCTGATAATCGTCGGATCACCTTTAATCGTTAGTCTGGTTAGTCCCCTTCTGTTAGTCCTCCAAGGGCAGAGCATCGAGTGCCTTATCTTGGGTGAACGATAGACCGCGCGCTAAGCCTAATCCCCCAGATGGAAACAGTAATCCACTAAACTAGAGCCAGTCGCACGATTCAACGTCCCTTCCTGACATCTCATCTCTCACAGTATACAAGACCTATGTACGCACTCAAATAACTCATGCGGTGCATCCTAGGTTACTACCTAATATATTGGGCGTCGGTCCCGCCAACTCGCCTATTGGTTTTTCAGGACATTTTACGAGTAACAATGTTTTATTTCAAATTAACACTATTTCATTAAAGAAATACAATTTTTCATTTCAATAAAGCAACAATTAAAAAACGATAATTTGCACCTTTTTTGTTGTTGAAACAACAGATGTTAACAATAAAATTAGAAAGCCATGGCATAATCTTCCACCCAGCGTGAGTTTTAATGGATATGAAAATAGTATACTAAAAGAACAAACCAATTTTTTCTTTTCACTCGTTGATGTCTTTTTTGAGCCTCTGTCTCAAATCAACGGCTCGCTTTACAAGCTTTTCGCACTCAACGTGCCAGACAGACTCGTGCACACCATCCGGGCCTTCCTGTTGAATCGCTCCTTTCGATACCGAGTAGAGGGCACCCTATCTACGAACCGCCCTCTCACGGCAGGCGTTCTTCAAGGCTCCTGCCTCTCCCCTTGCTTTTAACGCTCTACACGAGTGACATACCAAAAGAGCCGCACGTCAATCTCGCGCAGACACGGCGCTCTTTTACACAGATAAAAATCTTAATCGACTCACTACTCGTCTCCAAGTGTGACTTTTAGTGTGACCTATGTAGATATTTACAATGAGTGATACCTGATTTAACCGGTTTCTCTTAATTGCTTTAATTCTCTTAACTCTCTTAACTGAAAAGAAAAATTGTTGAAGTGACGTGAAAACCCTGTACAATGACTAAGTAATAAGTATAAACTTATTACTTAGTCATAAGTAATAAGTTTATACTATAATATTCTAGTCATTATTACGGGAACCTTCATACTTTAACCGAGCTTTTACAATAAAAGCAATATCTGATCAATATAAGCTATGCAATACGTTATAAATTTAGCATAAATGGTTTTTATGTTTCCCATAACACTTTTTATGATACCCTTTTTCATTTTTTCATAAAAATATTCAATGTACAGACACGGCGATACTACTCTTTTATTATAGTATAGATATAATTAAAGCATATTTCCAGTGTTTCCATGTTATGAATATACATACATTTCCGAAACACTATAGTATTCATTAAAATTTTGTACGGTCACGCAACAGTCTATCACACGAATGGGTACGTCCGCCCTGCTAAACACCACGACCTCACAGAAGACTGGCGTGAAGTGGAAGTTTTATACTTCTGCGTTTCGTCTGATGACTGAGGCAGCTGAGGCCCACTTTATTAAAAGGCGGCAACGCATCTGCAACTTTAAGGGTGTTGAAAATATCAATGGGCGGTGGGTATCACTATACATCAGGTGAACCACCATCTCGCTTGCCATCTTGTCACATAAAAAAGTAATAGCAGCATTAGCCTTTTATTTCGGCATACATTATGTAAATCTAAAAATGTTTCGTTTCAGTAAAGAATATAAACTAGTTTTAATATAGTAGGTTGAAGCTTTTTATAAACATTCCGCTGCCAATTTTAAAACTGTCTGAAAGGAAGTATAAACTAAACTGGCAAGTGTCTCATTTTTGATAAGTAGAGTAGTTTACCTTCATACTTTAACCGAGCTTTTACAATAAAAGCAATATCTGTTCAATATAAGCAATGCAATACGTTATAAATTTAGCATAATTGGTGTAGTCATGAAAGCTGTGAGTAATATTTCATATTTTATAGTAACCCTAAAAAATAATAATGTACCACCACGACTCAAACTCAGTTCTTTGTTTAATTGTATTGTATGGAACAGTTCATAAGTATTCGGAAATATTTTCCATTTAAATAATGACAAAAGTGTTGTTGCAGTGACATAAAGTGTACAAAATTCATTAGTCATTATTATAACTAAGAAAATGTTTATACTGTGTCTCATTTGAAAATAGGTTGCAGTACTGTGTTTGATCGCCGTAGCATATGCGGCACCATCACCAGCCGCTCCAGATAGTTCGAGTTCCACCAAAGAAAACAATGCTAAGATCCTTCGCTACGATAATAACAATCAAGGACTCGGCGATTACAATTTTTCGTAAGTTTTGTCAAGATTAAGACTCCACTGATGATGTAAATAGCGAACTTATGAATGATTCTATTTCAATATATTTGAGTAAGTCATTCTTATATGTAATAGTCAGTCTTTATTTTAAGCGCTGACTCAGCGCTTAGAATAATAAGGGGATTAAGATATAGGAATCAACTAGCTCGTCTTCGTTTATAAATTAATACGAAGAGGAAATATTGGTAAACATTGCATTATTTCTTTCATCCACAACCATTCAATTAGAAATAAGCAGTTCCAAAAATCGGTTCGCTCAATAAATAATAAATTACGTCTTAAATTGTATTCTGTGTATTAAAACTTCTGCACGCTTATCTGTTAGGATATCAGCCATTCAGAAACATATAAAATGTAAACAAAGTCAAATTTTAACAATAATACGAACGAATCATTATCTTTAATTATCGGGACTATTTAAGTCGTTATATATATATATAAGCTCGAATATATATCGAGATCTCGGAAACGGCCCCAGCGATTTTCATGAAATTTAGTATGTGGGTAGATTCGGGGGCGAAAAATCGATATGGCTAGGTTTAATTTTTATAAAATGTCGTTTTATCCCAGTTTACAGGGAATGAAAAATATCACTCGAATACGACGGTAAATTTCACCGAAAATATAAATGTTATAATAGCTCGGTCGGTAATCGGGCGGCTCCGTAACAGAAGACCGTTCGTGTCACGATCATTTACACACTTTTTTTTTCGATTCCAGATCATTGCTTTCTTTATTTTTTATTTTTTGTCCTTCAAGATGATTTTGTCCTCCAGGTCCTCCAGGTTCTCCAGTCCTCCAGGTACTATATAAATAATGCGTTCATTTTCCGACTTATTGTCGATATTTTTTCAATAGACAATAATAATAAGTTGAGCCAGGGGCCTGTCGCCCCTGGCTCTGCCCTGGTTTAGACTAAGGTGCAAACTGGAAAGACAATGAAGTATTTTCACAGAGTATGATGTGGCGCATTAACATTTGGGAGTACCATAATTATTTATTGACACTGTAAGATCTACTTCGAGCAATGGACAACCATACACTTGTGACTGGTGATGATTTTAACATATTCTCATTATACTTTTCAGATTTGAACAATCGGATGGCACAAAGCAACAACAACAAGGTGAACTCGTTAAAAAAGGTTCTAATGAATACCTGTCCGTTAAAGGTAGCTTCACGTACATAGGCCTAGATGGTGTTACTTACACCGTAACGTACACTGCAGACGACAATGGATACAGACCAGAGATAGAACAGGGCCCAGGTGGTGGTGTACCTGATGCCGTGGTCGCGTCCATGCTTGGATAAGAATCAACTAAAGAAAATTTACGTGTATATATGAGTGTAAATTTTACAATTAAAGTAAACAATAAAACCTAAGAATGTTTATACCTAGACAAATTGCAATTATATTATGTATATTGTTTAGACCAATAAGTAAAAAAAAAAACAATAAAATGGCTGCTAGGCGTAAACATCTCCGCATGCAAATTTTGCCGATTTACCATTGTTATTTCTTCCCCTTAAATATATAAATGATTTAATTTATTCGTTTGGCCAATAAATATTTTTTTTAAATATGTGCTTTATTGTGATTTATTTTTTTATGTCGGATATTTCTGGTTCTAATTTTTGCGATAGGGAGTTTACGTATTTCATAAGTGGTACTTAGATAGACTTTTAAAGCCGTACCATAAATTCAACTTAACTTTTTAATGGATTTGTAATTCGCAATTTGTAATATAATCATTTGTAAAAATTGTTTTCAGCCCATGGAAATACCCTCTATGGTGAATAACTTACCAGTTATTAAGAATTAGGTACGAAATTTCATTTCATTCTATTTTTCAAAACTCCAAAATTTCTATATTTTTTTTTAATGAAGTTGCCAAGGGGGCAGGCGGTTCACCTGATGTTAAGTGAATACGGCCCCCCGTAGACATCTGCTACACCCAAGGGTTACAGATGCGTTGACAACTTTTTGAAAATTGGGCTCCGGCTACCTCATCACCTCACCAGACGAAACGCAAAAGTATAGGTATACTTCCACTTCACGCCGGTCTTCTGTGAGGTCGTGGTACTTGCCCAGACGAGCCTGCCCATTCGTGCAACAGCCGAGGCTGCTGCGTGGCCATACCACAGTTTTGTACACCTTTTGTGTACATCACTTCAGTCATTGGAAAAAAAAATAAGTTTTGGACTTTTTGTCGGAGTAAGTCGATTTAGCTGCTCGCTACAGTACAAAACAAAGTGGATCCTCTGTCTGTCCCTAAATATGCTTAGATCTTTAAAACTACGCAACGGATTTTGATGCGGTTTTCTTTAATAGATAGAGTGATTCAAGAGGAAGGTTTATATGCCTAGTTCATGCATAATACAGTAGAGAAATACTGATAATTTTAGAGGTTTCTAATGCGATGTCGAAAACAATCGTTCAACATTGTATCCGTGTGAAACCAGGGCGTATGACTAGTATATACATATATGAATAATACTCTATAATATCACCCCAAGGCAAATCATGTAGAATGTGATAAAAAAGTGATTACACAGCCCTTGCTGCTTATGTTGAAAATAATCACAATAATTAGGATTAATGAAGTCCCCCCCTTTCTTGTGCAGCACCAACTGCAGTTCATGAAATTATGGTAACAACACCATCACGAAATTATTAAAATTTTCGTAAGACATTATTAACGTAATAATAAGACGGCTGAACTCACGTAAACCCGGTGTATGTACCGACTTGTTTTGGACTTATCGCGGAGGTCCTTCATCAGGGTGAGTGAGATTAGTTCGCGGTCGCGCGTTGCGCCGTCATGAAAATGTTTCGTAATAGAATCAAATATTAAAAATATTTAAAAATTAGCAAGGAATTATTAAGGGTGATTACATATTTTTTTCGTAAAATTGATAGCTGAACATGTGTGATATCGAATCACATATTTAAATATTAAAACTCAATCAAAACTTTTAATGACTCTTACAACGTAAAAAAAAATATTCATTAATTACATCTATTAACACCTCATTTATTGCTTACTGAATATGAGTTTATTAATGAAGTACCCTTATACTTCACGTTCGCCATACTTACCTCACTTTTCCCTTATCCCATTTCCACTTTACTAAAACTTCTTAGCAAACTTGACCTTCTCCTAACAAAGGAGAATCCCGATACAAACTTAGATTGACTCTGCCCGCTAGAAATTGATCCATTTTTCAACCAACTTCCAAAAAGGAGGATATTCTCAATTCTCCTGTTTTTTTTTTGTGTTTGTTACCTCAGAATTTTCGCCTGAGTGAACCGATTTTGATGATCCTTTTTATTTGAAAGCTTGTGCTTCCCATGTGTTCCCATATTAATTTAATTGGTATTGGATCTTGGGCTCCGGAGATACTTAGGGAACTACTGAAAATCAATTATAAAATGAATGCAGAGCGAGATATTTGAAGTCGGTTTTGTTTTTCGTTAATAAAAATATGGTTGAACAACAAACGTTTTGAAAACCCCAACTATCACGTAAATTAGAAATAGCTTAATCATTAAAATCGAGCAGTAAACACGGTAAGCCTTTCAAAAAAGCCGATGCCTCTTTCGTAACAGTAAGAAACACAATCAGCTTTCTCAGATTAATTCGACTGAAATCTCTGTCAAACTCAGAGATTTCAGTCGAATTAATGGTATGGATTCGTGGGCTCCTTCTTTTACACTAACGGCCAACTTCCAGTAGGCAGTTTACAATTCGATTTCTTGCAATAAAGAGTCTCAGCAATGATGTTTTAATAAAGATGACGCATGTCCATACTACGTGGCGTTTAAAATTTGTTCCGCTTTACACTTAATGACATAATATACAAGTGAATGTGATGCATGAGATGCACCGTCGGTGCTTCACGTCACGGTTGAAGAAGTCTGCAGTTTGTGATCATATATTGGACCACCTCAACCACTACATTAGATTTGATCAACCAAAAGTCCTCGCAAAAGAACACCGATTCCTCCCAAGGATGATCCGCGAGGCTATTGAAATAAAGAAACATCCTAATTTCAATAGAGAAGATCAACTATCTTCTCTATTTGGGTTTGTCATCTGCTTGGGATCACATAATTTATAAAATTAAATCCAAGCACACTAACACTGCTAAACCTCAAGATACCATTAGCTCCTTTGCGTAGATCGGAATAAAAATAAACAAAATAATTGACGGTAGCCGGGGTTAACTATGACATCAAGACGTGTAACAACTTAGTCTGTCCCGTGACCATGAACGCTGGAAAGGGTTCGAAACGTCGGGAAATTCAAATCAAAATAAAAACACGATAAAATCCGTAAACTACTTTCATTTCATATGCACAATATTCGCGTAAAATCAAGAAGTCAATATGTACACCAAATATCGTAATTTTAGTGTTTCTGTTTCGGTGCACAAGTGTCATATCTACCTCGTTAATGTCATTGAAATCTCAGGCTTTATGTCTTTGTTCTGACATTCGAACTTCTGTTGTACGTTTCTAAATTAAACCTAGTTCGATTCCAATGGATATAGGGGCCAGTTTTTTAGAGATAAAATTTCATTATTTGGGCCTTAGAGGCCATATATTAGATTAATTATTATTTATCTATAGGCTCGATATAGGGCCCGGTCATAGATCGGTCATAGTCTGCGAGCACTTTTAATCGCCCCAACCATTACATCAGTGATCAGAGGTGGACACAGTTCACTTCTTACAAGGGTGGTTCGCAACGATATTGAAATTTAAAAAAAGAAACGGCCAAGTGTGTGTCGGACCCACGCACGAAGGGTTCTGTACCATTATCTATAAAAACGCTAAAAAAATCATGTCTGTTTATGGAAGCCCCACTTACATTATTTTTTATTCTGTTTTTTAATATTGTTATAGCAGCAACAGAAATACATCGTCTGTGAATATGTCTACTGTCTTACTATCACGGTTCATGAGATACATCTCGGTAACAGACAGACAGACAGACAGCGGAATCTTAGTAATGGTCCCGTTTTACCCTTTGTGTACGGAACCCTAAAAAACATCTTACAACTTAATGGGTCATCAGATCCCCACCTGATGACCCAATAAAACAAGCCTTGAGCCTAGTTTGGTACATCAGTCTCCCAAAATATGAAAAGTTTTTTCTTGTGAAAAATTGCCAAGCGAGCAGACGGTTCACCTGATGGTAAGTGAACACCGCCGCCCATGGATAGCTGCTACACCCATGGGTTCCAGATGCATTGACAACCTTTTGAAAATTAGTCTCCGGCCACGTCACTCACTAGACGACGCGAAAATATTATACTTCCACTTTACGCCGGTCTTCTGAGAGGTCGTGGTACTTACCCGGACGAACCGGCTCACTCATGCTACAGCCGAGGCTGCTGCATGGCCCTACCACCGTGAACTTGTGCATCCACCTTTTAAATACTATTGTGACACATACATATTGTGGTGAGAAAGTAAAGAATTATTATTATTATTATTATGTGAAATGATGCCGAGCGAGCAGTCGGTTTATTTATGTAAGTAAAAGGAATGAAACTTTATATTCATTCTTCCTTTTACGTCAAGTAATTTGTGTTAAGTAGACTAGTTTACCTTCATACTTCATTTTATGCAAGTTTTTACAACAAATATCTGACCGATATAAACTTTGCAATACGTCGTTAATTTTGCGTTGTAGCTGTAGTGAACGACACATTACAAAGTAATCTTGAAAGTTGTGAGCAATATTTCATATTTTACTGTAACAGTAACACTATAACTCAAACTTAGTTCTTTGTTTAATGTAAAGCTTGTCCATATGTGCTCGGAAAAAATTTCCATTTTAATTATGAAAAAAAGTGTTCACGTAGTGAGAGAAAAGTGTGGAGAAATATTTAAAAATGTATAAATAAGAGAATGTGTACCTATATTCTCATTTTCCAGGCAGAAGTGTGTTTAACTGGCGTAGTATGTGCCAAAGAAAACACCAATGAAAACAATACTGAGATCCTTCGTTACGGTAACAACTATTGAGGATTTAGAGATTACAATTTTGTGTAAGTTATAATTTCTTCAAATTTTTAGTCCTCTCCTAAAAATGGTATGGGTCTTTATTTATCGCTTACACTCTTGTTATTTATGCTTGTACCTTTAATAAAAAATATACTTTTTAATTAATTGCTCTTTTAACCCTTACAAATTCCGTGCCCGAATGCTGTTTTAAAATTGATTTTATACCATTTCATAAACCTTTTCTTCCACATAACAATTTAATGAATCAATAGAAGTATTACTCAAAAGGGTG